GTGAGACAGGGTTGTATTCTTTCACCATACTTATTCAACCTGTATGCTGAGCAAATAATACGAGAAGCTGGGTTTTATGAAGAAAAACGTGGCATCAGGATTAGATTAACAACTTGCGATATGCAGATGATACAACCTTGCTTGCTGAAAGTGAAGAGGACTTGTGTTTATTGTTATGTATCACTGAGTAGGGACCATGTACAGGGCTTCTAAGGAATAGCTACTGAGTTTGAACCTGGCCTCAGGGTCAGCACTCCAGTACTTATCTCAGAGCACAGAGGGCCGGCGAGTCACACCTCCCACCTGTGAGATTTAAAAAGAGCAGATTATTACGCAGAGAGAAACAAGGACAAATGGGAAAAACAAAGATGGACAAAGAGACCTCCAAGGAAGGACTAGAAAAATGCCAGAGAAACTGTGGTAAGGATTTTCCTTGAGCAAAGCCTTCCCCAAGTCTAGAGCCTGGCCCTGAGGGCAGACTTCCATCCTCCCAAACTGTAAGAGAATGTATTTCTGATCTTAGAAGAAGCAGGTGGGAAGAAATTATTCAGACAATGATTACTAGTTTTTCTTAACTTTCTCAGGGTATTCATGAGTGGCTCATTTGGGGGAGGTGCAATATTTATTTCGTACAGTAACAATAAAATGAGGAGCCCTGGTGGTGCAGTGGTTAAGCACATGGCTGCTGACCAAAAGGTTGGTGGTCTGTGGGAGAAAGACGTGGCGGTCTGCTGTGAAAACACTCTCAGCCTTGGAAACCCCATGGGGCCGTTCTACTGTGTACGACGACATCACTAAGAGTTGAAACTGACTCAACTACCATGGCTTAGACTTTTTGGCCGTTGTTTAACAACAAAATAGTCTTTGTCACAGTCTCAAGAATTAACTAAACCTGTCTTGTGGAGCTTTTAGGACTAGAATACACTAGAATAGAATGCACACATAAAAATGTTGAAAGGCAAACAATCTGTTACATAAATATTTACCACACACAAAGAGATGAACATGAACTTGGATGGTTCTGAATAACATGAGTAATATGTAAGTAAATGCTGAAAAAAAATTATGATGTGTAAATTAGACCTCAAGAAGCTAAAAAAGAAACAAACTTAACAGTACAACATGAGAAAAGTGATTTTGCTGATATTTACTGTAAGGAAACGCCACACCTCAGAGAGTTCGTCCTCCCACCCATTAGGAAATCCAGATACAAACTGGACTTAGAATCCCAGGTGCCTGGCGAGCACCCAACTCTGACTGTATGTACGCAGGCGTCACTGGTACAAGCCCTATAAATGCAGGTTCCTCAAGTTAACAGCTCTTGAATCCTTCCATTTCTTCAGCCAACCAATTTGAAATAAAGAAGTGATTACGTCACACCACCCACAGCCTTGGCCTTCCTACCCACAGACACAGTGATTTCCTTAAATACAGTTTGTATCCCCCCCACCCCAAAATGTGTTGTAAATCCTAAAGCCTAAATCTGTGGTACACGCGGAGTCCTGGTGTGACACTGTAGGTAGGGTAAGCACTGGACCACATGGGTGGTTTGAACCCCAAGGTTAGTGGTTCAAAACTTACCAGCCACTCCCACTCCTAAGAAACCCTACATGGGGTTGCTGAGTCGGAACCAACTCAGTGGCATTTAACAACAACAAAAATGTAAGAAAATAACAAGATGTCTGTTCTAGCCATCCACTTACTGGTATTTAAATTAGAACATTATGGATAAGCAGTAACTGCCTCCCAATTCATCCCCAGCGGTACCATTCACTACAATTAGCTGCGTGCACTTTTCTTGTCCCTTTTTTGGGGGCACCTTTATATTGCATGGGCTCATGCCAGACACTAATGAAAAGAGAGTTTAGTTCATTGCTGGTGTTGACAGAATCCCCCCACCAAAGGAGCTCAACTCATGAAGAGCCCCAAGTGTCGAATCTGAACGGAGCCTACATGGAGTCCACGAGACCTCATGTCTTTCTACCTAAGTAGCCATCGGGCTTTTTCAGCAGCCATCGGGCAGGCACCACCGCATACTATCTCCAGGGTTCCCAAGTTCCAAGTATGTCCACTGGCCACAATTAATGAGTGAAGATTGGGCAGCTGGTTCTTGTTAACTCGGGTTCGGCCCTGCACGTATTTCAGAATACAAAAAGCCCACGAGATTTTACCTCAAGATCAGTCTTTTTAAGTGGAACAAATTGGACACAAACAGTAATCAATCTGTAGTTGAGGGAAAGACTTGTCCTCTTGGGGAAGAGCCCAGGCAGGGCTCACAAAGGGTTGGAAGTCTTTCCTTTCCGCCTTCTGCCCTTCATCAAGAAACACACAAGAGGGAAGTAGAGGCACATGGCTCATGGTGAAGATTGGTTCAGGCATGCCCGGGTGGCTGGGCTCTGGGAGTCAGGTGCATGGTGCGTAGACTTTTCCGGAGAGCTGGGAGGCGGGTAGGGTTAAGTGGAGTCCTCCAAGGCAATGTCTTATCCACCTTTGCATCCCCAATCCCAGAAAGTGCCCGACTAACAGCAACCCTGTATAGGGTTTCTGAGGACTGTCTGGTGGGTTCGAACCTTTGACCTCACGGTTAGCAGTCCTATGATGCCACACCAGGACTCTGCTGAAAAAGCGAGTCTGAATGATTTTTAAAAAGATCTTTCGGTGGTTGACTTGCTGCTGGCAAGCCTGCCTGATATCAAATTAAATATATCTACAGTTCCCTTCCATAGCCAGCTCTCTAGCCACGATCTAGAAAATAACAATAAAAGACTCAGAGGCTCAGCGTAGGTAATAAGGAAGCTGCTGTGCCTGCCTTCTGGAAGAAGCTGAGGGTCTTCTGACGCTGCGCTTGTCCTAATTGTTACTGCCCACACCGTAACCAGCTCATTGTACTTACCAGTAACTCCCCGGCACTTGTAAATACTTCAAAGACGCAAATAATTAAATGATTACAGCTCATTCCCATCATAGAACTGGGAACATGGATGCTCTCTGACAGCTTACATTGGCCCTCATCATTTACAAGGTCCCCAGGTAACCCGTGTCTTGCTGAATAAGCATCTCAGCATGAAAACACGCTGTACATGAAATGTTATGAGCTGAGCTCAATATGCCAGAACCGCTTCACTAAAAAGTGCTCATTAACCCTAACAACTAGATAGATGTACGCGTAATTTAAGATGATCCTCCCTCGACTGTTGTCTTGAACTGTGCATGAAAAGAGCTTGGATACAGTCCCCCACCTCCCTCCCTTCTCAAGTGTGTTTCAAGCACAATCTCTGGGCTGATGGAGATGAAACGTGGCCACAGTTACCCACTTCCTGACTCTGCGCCTCCTCCCCTCGCCACGCAGGCTACGCTAGCATTCAGGGCAACAGCAGGCATCACATGATTCCCATCAAAGTGCAGGCTTGTTCTGGAACCACTGACAGAGCCAGAAACTCAGTCTTCTGAAGTACTCACCGTGAATATCACCTTCTCCCTAGAAAAGAACATTTAAAAGTTTACTTTAGATTTTAACTCTGCAGTCCCCATATAAAGCAGCAAAACTCGACTTGAAACCAAATCTAGGATTCTATTTTTTAAATACAGACTTTAGTGCATTTCTTTGTTGTTGTCGAGCACAGACACAGCAAAAGCGCACACCACTTCCTGCTGCACACAGACAAGTTAGGAGCACTGATAACATGCTCAACTGTTCTTCTTTCTGAACAGTTCCTCCCTTGTTAACCATAAACCTATCTAATCTGTGCCCTCTCTGATCCCAGAGACACAGATCTTGAAAGACCCCAAGGCTCAAAGCAGACATTCTTTACTACTTATGCCAAACTACTGTTGGGTTTGGTTTTAAAAAGATTTCAAGGGCTAATTTGGGTTTAAGGTTTACAGATGCTCTTAGGGTAACAGTTTGGGGGACTGGAATTTCATTTAGATACGACCAAAGGCAGGGAGGGGATCAGGTCACCTTTATAAAAGTAACCTTTATTCAACTTGGGACAATCCTATATAAAAACTCTCCATGGTCAATGGCCCCAGTGCCACTGACACACTGGAACACCTCGGCACCTACCAATGAGCACTTCAGAGGGTCTTCCTTCTATCGGAATGGGAGACTGATAGATCCAGACCATATGTCTCTCTCCCTTCTCCTCACGGAGCTGTTACAGAAGCCGGTTGTTGTTGGTATGTGCCGTGGAGTCGGTTCCGACTCATAGCGACCCTGTACAGGGTCTCCGAGGTTGCAAATCTTTACGGGAGTAGAAAGCCTCATCTTTCTCCCGCGGAGCAGCTGGTAGTTTCAAACTACTGACCTTGCGGTTCGCAACCTGATTCGTAACCACTATACTACCAGAGCTCCTTGTTACAGGAGCCGTAGCAGTCCCTAAGTCCCCTTTCCATCCTCTGTCCCCCACTGAGAATGTTGCTGCCTCGAGCTCTGTGGTGCCAAGTCAGGACGCTACCCTGGGGCTTCTGGGCAATGCCAAGTCAGGGCGGCAGCCTGCTAGGGCAGCTCCTCGGAACCCGGGAGATAGTCCTGAACTCAGAAATGCTACCTGGTGGGGTACTGCAGGATAAGCACTGGAGTGCTGACCTCAGGCTGGCGGTTCAAACCCACCAGCCACTCCTTGGAAACCCTTACGCATGGCACTTCACAACAACAACATGTAACCACACCGGAAGGAAGTGTCACATAGAACTGTCTTTGTCAATTTCCCATCAGCCTCTACATGGAATTCCGGTGACAGGATTGAAACTCTCAGCAAAACAGGAACATTTCGTTTCTGAAATGTATTCATGTGAAGTCTTTCTTTTTCCTCATGTTATGTGGTACTGACCTTCAGATCTAAAAAGTCTCCAGAGTTTACTTCAGAAGAGTTCCTTGTCTGGGGCAAAGGTGACTCAGAATCTTCCCTACCTCCACTAGACTTGGCACCTGAAAACCAAAATATACTTTATGGGAAATATAATTGGGGAAAAAAAAGCAAAAACAGATAACACTTTAGTAATTAACATTATACATAGGTCTCATATTAGGAACTGACAGAATTAAGGAGGTTAAGCCTATTTCTTCAAAGTGATGTCTAGGTAACATTTCTGACTCTGAGATGTTGGAGTTCTGCCGTGGCGCTATGGGTTAATGTGCTAGACTGCAAAGTCAGTTTGAACTGGAAGGTCGGTGTTTCAGGCTCACCAGCAGCTTCTCAGAAACCCTCTACAGGATCACTATGGGTCAGAACCAGAACCGGCTGATGGCAACACAACACCAATAACAACTGAAATGTTAATCAGGTGTGGTGCTATAGGGATTAGCACGGAACTGCAAACAAGGTGGGTAGTTCAAACCCATTGGCTGCACCTTGGAAACCCTCTACAGGGTCACTATGAGTCAGAATCAACTGAATGGAACTTACGAGATTTCAATAAACGTCAGTCGATTTCTATTAAAAATGTTCTATCCCATATATCAAAATCAAACCCCCTGCCACCCAGTTTTCTTGGCAGAAACAGATCCCCAGGCCGGCCTTCTTCAATACTGCTGGGTGAGTTCAAACTGCCAACCTTTAGGCTACTTCTGGTACATACTGCTGTTGAGTGCCATACAGTTGGTTCTGATTCATAGTGAGCGGTTAGCAGTCCAGCGCTTACCCTACAGACAGTGTCACACCAGGACTCCCATTAGGTTAATAGTGGACCACAAACCCTTTGTGCCACCCACGGACCTAGAAAGAATTCTACACAGGAGCTAACCAAATCTGAGTTGAACCATAGGTCTAATCCATCACACACTCTCAGTCTTTCCCTCTGAGGATAAAATTGAACTGCTATTTCATTACCACTAAGTGTGGTGGTGGTGGTATGCCGTGAAGTCGGTTCTGACTCATAGCAAATCTGCGTAAGGTTTCTGAGGCTGTAAATCTTTACGGAATGGTTTCAAACTGCTGATCTTGAGGTTGGCAGCTCAACTTGTAACCACTACGCTACCAGAGAGCTAAGTGTGCCATAGTGAATTTGTCTCTTCGAGCCACATTCTTTGTAAACTTCCACCAAACAACATTTTCCTGATGGGTCTGAGTAAGATAAGGCAGCAGAAGATACTGATAGGATGATATGATGGTTCAGTTGTGAATGACTGTTAATAGCCCACTGTGATTGTAAAAACTTGGAATTCTTAACATGGGTATTAAATGAGCCATCTCAGAAACAGGAGAGGGAAGCTCAGTATCATTGACGAGGAAGAGCCAGGAGAGGAGCATGTCCTTTGGACTCAGAGAGCCCTGCACATTGAACCGCCCTGACCCAGGGTTAGAAAACTGTGACACCAGATGAGCAGCAGCAAAACGAAGAACCAGAGCATGAGAGCGAGCAGTGGGCTTCCAGCCCAGGAAACAAATAAAGTTGAGTGACTCTGGGCAGAAGGCTTGTTTGCCGAGTGGGCTGCCTCCAAAAACCAGAAGAGCTAGGTTTGCTGACCCATGGAGTTAGAGCCAAATACCTTCAGGCTGAGGCTTACTGGAGTGTCCTGTGGGCATTTTTATCAGTAATCCTAAAAAAGCTTTGGCACATTGGCCAGGCAGAAAGAGGCCTGCCTGTGGGCACAGCTGAGGAGAGGCTGTTCTGACAGGAACAATGGTTCCCTGAGCATTTCTGATCCTGCACTGAAACCTGGTCACTTCCTTCATCAACCCCATTAACTATGAGTATGGTGTCTATAGAGTTCTGTGTGGTGACTGCAATGCATTCTGGAACCTGGCTTGAGTAGAGGGTGGTGGGAGGAAGGTCGGGGTCACATGTGTTGCACTAAGCTAGCAAGAAGCCAGCGAGGTTGTTTAAGATGGGTCCAGCTCCTTGAATGGTGATTGAGTACAGCTACAAACCATTACCTGTAGACTTGGTCCAAGAAGGGGGATTTTCTTCAGATGTCCCAAAGATGTCGGAGGCCATTTTGTTCCTCCTCACAGGTTGTTCTGCTGGTTCATCAAAGCCTAATGAGAAATTGGAGCCACCACCCGGAGGCCGCAAAACCCTAGAAATAACAGCAAACGTCCATCTCAGATGATCAGCCAAACAGTTCTTGATGCAAATATTTTCAAACACTTCCTTCCGTTGCCCTTGTCCAAGCATCCTGCCACCCTTTATACACAGACACACACATACATCACATATAAATGACTAATGGAGAACAAAGGCGTTAACTCCACCACAGTAGAAAGCCAATGCTGGATGTTAACATGCCAAACACTTTACATTTGGGGTGAGACCATCACACAAGGCAGCACCAACAGCCTAAAAGTCACTGTGAGTCCCAGCCTGGGTAGGCTAGTATTTTCAGAAAATGCCAAAGACCTAACTGTTATTGTTGTTATGTGCCATGGAGTCAGTTCCGACTCATAGCCACCCTGTACAGGGTTTCTGAGGCTATAAATCTTTACGGGAGCAGAAAGCCTCATCTTTCTCCCGCGGAACCCCTGGTAGTTTCGAACTGCTGACCTTGAGGTTCGCAGCCCAATTCGTAACCACTACGCTACCAGAGCTCCATAAAGACCTAGTGGACCCTCTCTTATGAGACTGGACAGAGTGGGGCTTGTTTGCAGAGAAGGTTAGAAGCGTGGCTTGTTATTGATTCATTTAAAAATCATTTCTACTTTTATTTTCAGCTCAGTCAAAAGGAGCTGAAGACACAAGTAAAAGTTACCTAGACTAATTTAGGAGTCTAAGGAAGAATAATAAAGTCTCTTCTCTCTGGATATCACCGATAAGCCCTGTTTACACACTTGCACCTCACTCTTCTCACTAATCCACATGAGTGACCAGCCACAGGGGAATGTTAACAGGGAAATCCTCTGACTCCATCTATAGCTGCTTCAACACACGCTGACCGATTGGTTCCTTCCCTGGGAACGCTTCATCACCACTACTGAAAACAAAGAAAAAGGAGATTGTTTTGGAGAAAGATGGTCAAACCACTAAGTCAACTCCTTTGTTGGTTATAGAAGTAGTGTGGTTTCCTATTCTTAAATCAGTCTAAGAAACACTTTTCTAGAAAAGTGTCCATTTTCATCCAAGTTTTTTAAAATAAAGACGTTTATTTGTAAATGCCGCGGATTGTATTGAAGGCTGAACGTTACAAGCATTCCCCAGTTTTGATGTCAGCATTTTCCAAATTGTTTCTATTCTATTTTCTCATTTCCATTACACTTCCTTCTCTGACCCATCCGTTGCTTCCCAAAAACGAAACCCAAAGCCACTGCCATCAAGTCCACTCTGACTCATAGGTTTCTGAAACTGTAAATCTGACAGGAGCAGACAGCCTCGTCTTTCTACCATGGAGAGACCGCCAACCTTGCGGTCAACAGCCCACAATGCCACCAGGGTTCCCATATGTTACTTTACAAGTGTACTTGTACATTTCCAAACAGAGTCCCTTTCTAATTATTGATTGCTAGCTTTTAATTACAATGAGTCTGTCTGACATGAATGTGGCCCAACAGGTGACCAATTTTGTAAATGTTCTATGTGTGCTTGAAAAGAATGTGCATTTTTTAATGTTCTATGTGAGTCCACTATATCATGCCTGCTAAACACTGTTGAAATGTCCTTTATAACGCTTACTAGAGAATCAGTTAACTTTCAGGATAATGGGAGACTTGTCAAGATCAGGAGTCCTTTCTCAAAGGGACTAGCCCCTGGAGTCTTACAACAGTAGGGAGATTGTTAGGCCAGCTGCTACCATTATAATTACACGAGCAAACAGAGGGGGCATCAAAGTGTCTGGAAAAATAGAATGAGATAATGACATTTTTCCAGGGACTTCTGGAAGCCCCCTGATTCCCCCCCCCCCTCACTTCATTTATCAAAATGTGCTCCAGTTAGGCTCAATATTTCTATCTAAAAACGATGTAAAAAATCTGGAAGTATGACTATCATCCTAATCTTAGAGAAAAGGACTTTCTGAGCACAAGAGAAAGCCAGAAACCATGCAGAGACAGATAAAACATGACAGATTACAAGTAACATTTGACAAAGGATAATGTCATTAATATACAAAAAGCTCTTAAAAGTAAGCAGGCAGTTTAGAAATATGGATGGTCTATACACGTGGTCTATAAAAACTTAACCTTACTATAGTAAGTGCAATTTAAAATAAAGGGATAACATTTTTTACTTATTAGATTAGATTGGCCAAGATGACAAAAACTGCCAGCAGTCCCCAGGATTAGTGAAAGTGTATGATTATAAATTTATACCAACTTTCTAAAGGCATTTGTTTGTTGGTATAAACACTTAATAGTATATCAATTAAGTGTTTAGGTTTGCCTTCTATCTGAACCAGCATTTATTTCTATGTCCGGAAATTTTTTCTAAGGAGGCAGTTGAATATACACAGGGATATTCCTTATAAAGATGCTAATCTGGAAAATACTGGAAATGCCCGCAATATCTATCAGTTGGAGACTGATTATCAAAGTACGTTTATAGAATAAAAAGCTATATATAGTACGGTGAGATGTATCTTTACTCATGGATGTGAAAAGTTGCCCAAAATATACTGAATCAAAACCAAAATGCTATTTAGTCCAACTATCTATGTAAAGAAGGAGCTCTGGTAGCGTAGTGGTTACAAACTGGTCTGCGAACTGCAAGGTCAGCAGTTCGAAACTACCAGCTGTTCCATGGGAGAAAGATGAGGCCTTCTGCTCCAGTAAAGATTTACAGCCTCAGAAACCCTGTATAGGGTCACTATGAGTCAGAACTAACTCCACGGTATACATAACCACCACCACCATCTATGTAAAGATTTACAGCCTCGCAAACCCTATGAGTTGGAACACAACAACCTCTGTTATAACACTATATGCATAGAAATCCACGTACTAGCTGGGTGACCTTCCTGTTGTGTAAGTGCCCTCAAGTCAGTTCTGACTCATAGAAGGCTGGATAGTGTTTCTTAGGAGAGACTGGTGGGTGTGAACCGCTGACCTTGCAGTTAGTAGTCCAGTGCTTATCCTCCAGTGCCACACCATGACTCCTTAACCTCCCTAAGCCTCAGCTTTTTCTTCTGTAAAATGGAGATGATGGTACCTGCTTCATAAAACTATCCCAAAGATGAAACCATATATACTGTACTTAGCTCAGTAACTGGAGCCGGCTAGTATGCAAATTATAACAAGACATTTACCAGCGGGCTCTCACAGAGGGGATTTTTAATGTCTTTTTTATACTTCATAGTTTTTATAGTACAATTAATCTTGTATATTCTAAAGACAGCTTCTGGATTTTAGCCTTCTTGACAGTTTCTTTTCTTTTGACCATACCTACTTTTTTTCCTGGTGTGGCGCTGTGGGTTAATGCGCCAGACTGCAAAGCCCTTTAAACTGCAAGGTTTGTGGTTCAAGCTCACCAGCTGCTCCTTGGAAACCCTACACAGGGTCGCTATGGGTTGGAACTGACTCAACAGCACTTAACTTTTTCCTACTTTCCATTATAGAACACTTCATGTGTGGCTCCACACTGGATCTCCAGATAGAAACCCAGCTGCCTGGGTGGAGGTCTCACATTCTACGTACCCTAGGGATCCAAGATTCACACTTCCCGATCCTGTTCACAGTCCCTTTCCTGGACCAGTGCTGTCTGGCAATTAAACCTAAGCAGGAACCAAAGGAAATCTGACTAAGTTTACCTCCTTCCTATCAGCATGGCTGCCTATCTGATCTAGTTTCTTCCATCTTCTTGGCCCATCTGGTCAGACCACTTTCTTCACTGCTGAATGAACGAACAGGTCTTGTTGAGTCCCACTTCTGGCTCTTTCCTCACTTATTTTCTCTTCCCTGAGAACACTGCTCTATCAGCGATTTTTCAAAACTCAGCCCAACCTTGAAGACTTGTCGCTCACGCCCAGCCTCTTGCAGGAAGAGGTGCCTTCAGTGTAGACCAGAGTTGAAAGGGAATTGGCCAACCTTTCATCAGGGGTCAGAAACGCTCTCTAAGGGACAGATAGTAAGTACTGTCGAGTAGGTTCCGACTCCTAGTGACTCTGTTATAGGGTGTTTCCAAAGGAGCAGCTGAAAAGGAATATGCATGCTGTGCTCCAATACAATTATATTTTATAGACAATGACATTTGACCCTCATGTCATTTTCATGGGTCATGGAATATTCTTTTGATGTGTTTTTCCAAGCATTTATAAATGTAAAAATCACTTGGAGCTCACGGGTTCTACACAAGCAAGCACAGGCTAGGTTCAGTCCATGGGAAACAGTTTAAGGAGCCCTGCTGTCTACATCCACAGCCCTTTCCTAGGAGAGAATTCAGGTCCTGAGCAGCTCCAAGGGCAATGACCAACATTCAACTGATGGAGCCGGAGCCACACCTCAAATCCTCAACATTATTAAGTGTTGTCAAGTGGGTTCTGACTCACAGCAACCCTGTATAGGGTTCCCGAGACGTGGCTGTTAGGTTTGAACTGCCGACCTTGTGGTTCAAACCAACGTTGCAGTCGCGCGCTTATCCTACAGCACCACACCAGGACTCCTGTGTCTGTCCATAGTAAAATTCAATTTTCAATTTCCAAGAAAAATGTTCTATTTCCCCTAGGAGGGAGGCTATTGGATTGCTTTATAACATGTACAACACTTACATCCTCAGCCACTAGTTTATTAAGATTGCAAATATCAAATATCCACTTAAACCAAATTCATTACACTAATTAAGACAAATGTGGTCAGGTATACATTTTATAAAGATAATAATTTTAGGGTGGCAGAAATCACAGTTGCAGGTATGTTATTAAATTTTTAAAAGGTTTTCTTGGTCAAAGCCTGAAGCAACTAGGTTGATGAGTTGTTTTCCTGTTTTTGTATTAAACAGTTACACCCCAAAATTAGCAAAGATACTTGAAACGCTGTCATCATATTTAATTTGTTTCACTCCCTGAAGATCAGAATTACTTTCTTTATTGTTCATAGTAAAAACTCCATGCTTTTAATCAGCTGAAATTGTTCAGAGCCCTAATGGCTGTAAAATGTGTTTGGCCTTTAAAAAAAAGAAAAAGAAAAGATACTAAATTAAAACCCAAATACCAGTTGAAAAGCAACTCAGAGCTCTGACCAGGGCAACTTTTTAAGGTCTACATCTATCTTGGAACAGCAGGTACTACCTATATACAATGACGTCAGTGTTGTAGAAACCATTTGTAAGGACGAGACATCCCCAAACAAAGGATTTGGATCCTCAGACAGAAATGATTTCAATCTTATTTTTAAAGATCCTGCTAGTCTTTCTGAACAACACAGATCATAACAAAATCAAAATCACATACTTCAGACTTAACCAAAATGTGCCCCTGTATTCTGGATCTCAATCAAAAAAAAAAAACCATTTTGATCTTCCGTCGCTCTTGAAAAAAACCCAAAGTTCCCATGTGATTTTTGCAACTCATTCCCTCCCAGCTCAAATTTATAAAATGCTTCTGGAGCCAGCAGAATAACTGGAGAAAGGAAGTTGAGGAGAAGCTGGAGAGATTCTAGAAGAAAAGGGTGGGAAACAAATGCCGGTCCCCAGATCACACTGTTGGAGACAAATGATAACAAAAGGCAAACGAAAACATTCATCCTGCAGAACCAGAAGTCATTTCAAATGCACATGGCAATGGCAAGAAAACTGAGGCAGACTATGACCTGGTTGCTGACATTCTTGATGTAACTAGCACTAACATGAACTCAACCCCAAAGGCTGTTACAATCCCAGATTACATGTCCTCCTTCCAACAGCTGGTGTCTACCCAGCAGAAAGTTGACCTCACAGCACAAAATGACAAGCCATGATTCAATGTGTCCCCATATCCTCTGCAGAAAAGTCTCTCGTTGGAAGGATGACAACAGAAGAGGCAAGGCCTGATACTCTTGTTAGATCTTTACTACTTAAGTTCCTCATCTTCCCAGGACCCACTAATCTAGTTCTTTGTGTTTTGTTTAAATCTTATCCACCTAGTTCTAAAATTGCAAAATGTTAAGAAAGGAGTTGAAAAGGACATGCTTTATCCTCACACTCCTCCGTGGAGGTTTCTTTTTGTTCCCAAGTTCTCCAACCTCTGTGAGATACTGCTCTTTTCAATGTGTTTTTCTTACGCCCCACAAAATGGCTCCCTTTGTGCCACTTGCCCAGGACTCCAAGGCTAGCCACATCAGCCCCCAGGTCGTCAGCAGTGGCCAATAGTGTCTAGAAAAAAAAGTGGACTCTAATGTGCCTTGAAGCCTTGAGCAGAATCCCAGATATGCCTATAACCCACTTCAAAGAGCAGAAGGCCAACAGCAGGGACAATGTGGACACCTTCCATACAACCAAGAACCTACTCACAACTCAGACAAGGGCTGGGGCAAGGGTTCCGATCTGAACCCTGTGTCCAGGGCCCCTCTCCCTAAAATACAGTGGGGAGAGAGGCAATCAGGGCCCAGACTTCCCAGGTGGAGACTCTACGGAAGAGACAATGGACGTCTCCGGCCCCGCCCAAGAACAGGAAACCTCCTCCCGCCCGGGAACCGCGGCCTGGGAGGGACTCGTAGCAAACGTCAACCCGGTAAACGAAAAAGGTGGGCTGCAGAACCTTAGGTCCAAAGGTTTGAGCGCAGAAAAGCCCCTCGACCTGGGGATGAGCGGCTAGGGGGCTAGAGCGGGGGTCTTTCCTTTGTTACACGAGGGGAGGCACTTGGAAGAGGGCCGGGCGGGTTGGGTCCAAGACGAGTGGGAGGGGACAGGGGGTCGCGGTGACCAGCCCCGCCCGATCTTAAATGCCACCTGCCGGGCAGGCGAGGGACGGGGTGGGGGAGCGGCGCGGGTGGGCACCCGCCGGCCTCTCTGGATCCGAAGGGGCTCGATCGCCGCGCCCCTGCGCGTTGTCAGCCACATGTCCCCGGTCGGAGGAGCGCGTGGCCCGGGGGTGGGACAATGGAGCCTGGCCAAGGCGCTCCGGAGGCTCCCGAGCACCCGGGTGGGCTGGGGAGAGTTGGACCACCGCCCGGGTCGGGCCAGCCTCTGCAGAGGCGGGGAAGTGCTCGGCACGCTCCTGAGCACGAGCACCCACCCTGAAGCCGCGGCGGTGGGAATGGGGCGATGGGTCCCGGGTAGGAATGAATAGGGAGAATCGGGGACCGGGGCGGGGCTGGCGCAACCAGCTTGCCAAGCAACACAAAGACGGTGCTGGCCGCCGAGTGCCCGCCGCCCACCGGGCGGGAGCGCGGCGCGCCGGGCACGTTACCACCAACGACTGGCTGCCCGGGCCCCGCGCAGCTCCACCGGGCAGCAACCCTCCCAGCCCCTCAAGCGGCGCGGCTCGGCTCGGGCGTGGCCCCGTCGCCTCACCGAGAGCTGTTCCTGCTGTTGGGGTCGACGCCCTTGAAGGTGGTTGTGGTGGTCATGGTGCCGAGAAGTGTGTTGGGCCGGTACGAGGAGACGCTGAGAGGGTCGGGCCGAGAGGGGCAGAGCAGCTCTACAACCCACAGCCGGCGACCGCTGCAGGAGCCTCCGCCACCGCCAGCCGCCCGGCCGTCCTACTTATACACCCTATGGGGCCCCGCCCTCGTCCCGCCAGCATTGGGCAATTCAAATAGTTCTCTTGCTTTCTATTGGTTCTCTCAAGTGTCAACTACGGTGTAGCGTCACGAGAGGTTCCACTCGGCCACTGCTCAGCCTCAGCCCGCCCTCTTCCTAGACAGGGAAGTTCTCCCCCTCCCCCACTTCAAAATCTAGCTGATGATTGGACCAAGGATGAACATGCCCCACGCGCTGTGCAAGTTGTACTCGCTGTCACCTAAAAAAAGTTACCTGAGAGAGCAGAAGCTCGCTCCGGGGGAGTTGGAAGCAGCAAGTCAAGGACAGTGTTGTGGCTTTTACCATTCACTTCTTTGCCTTACTCTTAGTGCGATGGATAGATTGGAAATCTGACAATCCCAAAGCCGCAGTATTATGAGTCAGTTACAGAAAGCATGTCAAGATGTTCCTGAGTCCTTTTAAAGCGACTAGAAATTCCTTACATTTTAAAGTTACCATTTAGCTGTAATGACTGATGCGTGCACTGGACCAAAATGACAGTCGTTCCAATTTGAGAGCCTGTTCTAAAGCTGATGAATGGCAGGCAGGCGGGCGGCAGGGAACTTGCTAGACAAGGCCCTGGCCTCTGCAGCTGTTTAGACCCCTTAAGTCATGATTCCCCCACCTGTCTGGGTAAATCTATCCCTGAAACAAATGCAGACACATTTGGAAGACTCAAGAATGACGGTTTAGGTATTGGCCAAACCAGAGGAGGCAGTTGGGTAACCCCTTCTCATATTATGAATTTTTCCTGCACACAGATCTCTTACCCAGTCTCAGCGTTTCCATAAAGCCTGAACATTCCTCGCTTCAGGCAGAAGGAGAATACAAGTGTGTATTCTCAGCAGTCTTGGTTAACCACCTTCTCTGGGCTTCATGAAAAGTCAGTCTTAACGAGTGGCAGGGATCATTCATTTATTGTGCCTGTCACAACAACATGAAGCACACCACTTGTTTAGGTTAGAATCTTCCCTGTCCTGAAAATTGAGCCGAATTTCCCAAAAACTTCCCAGACTCTCACACACCCATTTCAGACCAATCAAGCCCAGAGACGTGCCCTTCTCAGAAATCATATAATTATGGAGAAGGAGACTGCAGAAGATGATGGTTGTTGGGTCAAGCTCTCATGAGAAACTTGGATGTGATTCTCGACTCTTACTCTTTCAGAGTCCTGGTGTGTCACTGTAGCATAAGCACTGGACCGGAAAATCAGTTTGAACCCCAAGATCGGTGATTCAAACCCACCAGTCACTCACTATGGTTCAGAACTGACTTCGTGGCACTTAACAACAACAACAAATTTCATTTGTAAAATAGTGTCATGAGGATTACATGAAATAAAAGATATAAGGATAAGGTGCTTGGCACAGTGTTCAATGTATTTCAAACTATCAACCTGATAACCATTTTGTTAGCAGTCTTCATTTGGAAAGCGATCACATACTTTTTAAGAATCTGGGGGGAAATTTTTATTAAATGAGGGGTTTTTGCTTATTTCCTCCCTGCCCTGTAGTCTAGCAGAGAACAGCTTAGGGTGGCCAACCACACAGCACAGAACTGAAAATCAAAAGACATAGGTTGTGATTCGGCCCTTTCCTAATGTAAGACAGTTAAGTCATTTAAGCCCTTGAGCCTCAGAGTCCTCATTTATAAAGCCGGGTACCAGCACCTGTTCTGAGTTGTTGCGAGGGTTGGAATGAGATGTACGTAAGAATGTTAGAAAACCCACTCTGGATAGTCAAGGGTAAGTCAAAAAGTATTACTACAACATCATAGCAAGCTCTATTAAACAAAAAGATCAAAACGTGAAGCGATTTAGTTGCATACATTTCTGAAGGTGGGGTTTCCTCACTCTGACCCTTCTTGGAAGAACTCTACATTCTTCTATTGACACCACATCAAAACAGCTGTTTTGGCATCTTCGAAGATCTCAAATTGTTCTCTTGGGTTTGGGGGACAAAAAGAAGTCTGAAGGAGTGTAGGGTGCATGGGGTAAGACGTCACAATGAAACTCTCATAGGACGGCCCTCAAAGAAGGAACAGGTGCACTGCCGTGATGGAAAAACAAGTCATCGGTGCAACTTTCCTGGCCCTTTTATCACCAATGCATTTTTCTATTTTCTTAAAATTTCTTCTTAATAACACCCCTGTGATGGTCCTGTGTGCTTTGAGAAAATTTATCAAGATTGCCCCTTTGGAATCCAAAATAAATCAATTAAATGACCAGTTACCATAACTTTCAGAGCTAACCTTTCTGTCTTGAATTCATCTTTGAGGCCTTCTCAACTTTCCTTCAAACGTTTGATACATCTAAAAACTTATTTTATGTGAGGCAGTATTCCTATAAACCTGTTGCAAAGTTTCAAGAATTTGGGAAGATGTCCACTTGAGTTTTGGCTAAAATTTTGTTATTAACCTTGACCTCAAAATTGCTTTTTTTTTTTTTATCTTGGCACAAAAAGTTTCCTTTTTTTTAAAGGCACTTTAATGAGACTGTTGTTTAGTACAATGGAGTCGTTTCTCACTCACAGCAATCCTGTATAAGGTTTCTAAGACTCTAAATGTTTATGGGAGTAGAAAGCCTTTTGTTTTTCCCTGGTTAGCCATCCAGTGCTTATCCTACAGTGCAGCTAAGACAAGTGTATTACTGAATTTGTCTGCAGCCATCCACAAATCACAGAGACATATTTAAACATGTTTTGTTTGGAATAAATTCATGCATGCATGAACTAGAACCCTAGTAGCAAGAATTTTTTTCCCACTTATTCTCTTGTATCAAAATCATTTGAGGCACACAAATGAATGTCACCCCACCACAGATCTACTGGATCAGAATTCCTATGCTACAAAGAAATTAATTCTTGGAAAACCTTTCTAATCCAATCTAATCTAGGAATAGATTTGTTGTTGCTAAATGCTGTTGAGTCGGTTGTGACTCACAGTGACCTGGTATGTCATGAATAGATTGTTATTAAGTGCTGTCGAGTCGGTCCTGACTCATAGAGACTCTGTATAGGGTTTCCGAGGAGCGGCTGGTAAGTTGAACCACTGACCTTGTGGTTCAAACCAATCTTTCGATTCAGTGCTTATCCTATATCACCACACCAGGACTCCATGAATAGATTGTTGTTGTTGTTGTGAAGTGCCATTGAGTCAGTTCCGACCCATAGAGACCCTGTAAAGAGTTTCCGAGAAGCAGCTGGTGAACTTGAACCACCGACCTTGCAGTTCAAATGGCTTTGCAGTCTGGCGCATTAACCCACAGCACCACCCCAGGACTCCATGAATAGATTAGTAAACTAATATAAAACAGGATGGTACAAATGGTAAATGCACCCAGTTGCTAACCTAACTGAATAGTTGGAGGTTTGAGTCCACCCAGAGGCACTCTGGAAGAAAGTCCTTCAGATCTACTTCCAGAAAATCAACACTGGACACACATGAGGTCACCATGAATAGAAATAGTCTAGACAGCACCAGTTTTTAATGTAAAGCTAACATTTGAACGAGTCTTTTGCAAAGTAAGTCTGTTTGGCTCGTTCATCATATCTTTCAATCAAATTCTTAGACTATTTGTGGAATAACTAGCCCTCCCATTTACACGTACATGAAGTGTAACAATTCCTACTAAAATCACTGTATTTTTCCTACTGCAAGATAGGGAAGTGGAATAGAGCAAATCTAAAAGATAGAATTCTGCTCTAATAATCTTTGTTCCTAACGATTTACTTGAAAATGGGACGTTAGCAAAATTATTTTTGTCCACAAAACCCAACACAGATTGAGATTAAAAAGTTGCAAAGGGAAGAGGCAATGTTAACATTTGCTTTTAAACTGTGAAAATCCATCATCCTGTTTAAAAAACCAAACCAAACCACTTTTAAGGTTCTATAACGTGCCTTGGAAACCCTGTTCAGGGTCGCTATGGGTCAGAACCAACTTGATGGCACTTAACAACAACAACAACAACAACAACATAACATGTTTGGTGGAATGGAGGGTTGAAGAAAAAGAGGAAGACTCCCAGTGAGATGGACTGGCACAGTGACAGTATTAATGGGCTCAGGCAAGGCAACGATTGTGAGGTTGGTCCAGGACCGGGCGGTGTTTTGTTCTGTTATCATAGGGTCACTATGAGTAGGTACTGACTCGATGGCACCTAACAACAGCAACAATAACAATTGATATAAAATCTAAGAAACTAGAAGACAAACTTTATGACAGGAAATATGGCAATTTTTCAAACATTTATGCAGCAGAATCCAAATACAGAAAATAGATAAAAGCAAAGCCATTATGATTAAAGGTGGGCAGCAGGTCCGACTTCCTGGTCCTCGCCGCCTATCTCCCCCTCCTCTTGCATTTATTTTGAAAACTACTTTCCCATATACATTGTACATTTCATCTTCTAAAATATATGTACGCACTGAATGAGCAGTGAGTTGCCCTCACATTCTTCCTAATTCTTGTGATATATTTCTGGGTCACTGATCAATTTCCCTGCATCTCTCATTGCCATCTCCCTGATATTGTGGTTAGGTGCCATCGAGTCAGTACCGCCTCATAGCGACCTTATGCACAGCAGAACGAAACACTGCCCGGTCCTGGGCCAACCTCACTATGGTTGCCACGCTTGAGCCCACTGATGCTGCCACTTGGCCAGTCCATCTCGCTGGGGGGTCTTCCTCTTTTTCTCTGACCCTCCACCTTACCAAACATGATATCCTTCTCCAGAGACCTGAAGTACAAGAGACGAAGTTCGACCATCCTGGCTTCCAAGGAGCATTTTGGCTGTACTTCTGCCAACACAGATTTGTTTGTTCTTTTG